GAAGGCCCTGCATTCCCGTGAGCCCTGGAGCGGCCCCCTGCTAGGCCCCAGGCTCCCCTCTGTCCCCACATCGCCCAGGCGTCATGGTGTGGCTGTTCTCACGGCCTAGCACGCTTGCCACGGGCCTGTGCTCTCCAGCCAGAGAGCCTGCCAGATTTTGGCTCTGCCTCAGTCAGGCTGTGTGGCCTTGAACATGTTACTCCACCTCTCTGTGACTCGGCTGCTGCACCTGCCAAATGGGATCCTAGTGGCACCGATGTCACAGGGTCCCCAAGGGCAGTATTGAGTGCTGGCCGCCACTGCCCATCCCCTTTCTCCCCATGGAGGCCAGGAGGCCCCGCATGTCACAGGAGGAAGAAGGAAGCGGGCAGGGGTGAGGAGGGAAGTCTCCCCCTCGGAGGGACTCACAGCCTCCAAGTGCGATGAATGCCCAGGGGAAGGGGCTGAAGAGAGATGTGGCCCACGTCATTGCCCCCTCGCACCCCACCCTCTGAGTCACCCACTGATGAGGGCCGATGAGCCTTATCGCAGTCCTAGGCGTGGCCAGGGATGGTCTTTGAGGTCCCTGGGTGACATCAGCACTGACATCATCCGATGGGAAGCCTGGGCCTGAACAAGGGTCAGGTGACAAGGTAGAGCCTGCCCAGAGTCTGAACAGCTTGGCCTGAGGCCCAGGGCCCAGCGCCACCGTCCGGCTCCCCGCAGAGGTAGAGGTGCAGGGTGGGGGTGCCCCAGGGGAGGCCGACCCCGGCCCAGCCCAGATCCGGCCCGGATGCACTTAATTCCATTCCGATCCCTGTAGATGACATTGTCTGACACCCAGTGTGAACCAGCCCTGGGGAGATGAGACTGTCCCCTCTTGGCAAGGGGCTGCCATCTGGAGCCTGGTCAGGCATGACCTAGATGGCGGTCAGAGTATAACCCAGAGCAAGGACACCATTCACAGCCAGAGCCCCACCCATAGGCGCAGGACCTGGAGCTCCACGGAAAGTTTCCCCTTTGCTCCAGAATGTTGGGGTGTCCCCCAGCAGGTGCTGGTCCCAAGTGCACGGATAAGGCAGGGTGCAGCACCAAGATGCCCTCCGCTGGCTCTTGCTGTCCTGGCCTGCCGTGATGCCGGGCCCCCTCCCTCGAGAAGCTGACATGCCTCTGTCCCTGGGCTACATTTTGTTAGAGGCGCCCATGGCAGGGTCTGGGGTCCTCGTTACACGGTTCTGAGGGCCTCCAGTCCCCACAGATCCTCTCCCCCCCTTCTAGAACCTCTGGCCCTGCTGTGTTGTGTGTCCCACGTCACGTGGGCTGACCCCAGCCCAGTCACTGGATTCAAAGGTTCATTGAGCTCTCCGCCTGTGGTCATGTTCTCCGGGGAGGCCTGGAGTGCGGCAGGCATGCTCACGAGTGAGCGGGTCAGGAAGCTCTCCACCTACTTCAGTATCTCAGCCCCTGCTCCCGAATTAGGTTCTAGGACTTTCTGCCAAGCTCAGGCACGAGTGCCGAAGCAGTTGCTCCCCCCACCCCCGAACCTGACAGAAGAGCAAAAGCACACCTGCTGACTAGCAGAACTTCTTGTGGAAGCCCCAAGCCATCTTCCTGGGTCCCCTCCAAGGAGTATTTTATGGGGAGCCACGTAGGACTTGCTGTCAGGACACTGGCTGCATCTTCTTTCTGAGGCTCCCTGGAAACCCTTCTCTCCTCCCAATGGTGAGAAATGACAGGCTGCTTTGAAGCAATGGGCTTGTTTTCATCACATGGACATTGTATTTCCCTCTTTGCCCTGGCTACTAGGAAGCTCAGAGCCACGCTTATATGCCTGCACCAAAAAAATATCATTTTATGGTAAGAATTTGTATCAATTGTACAATCTCACCTCTGGCTCTCCATTATTTTTCCACCCTTTTGTTTTTGTTTTTGTTTTTGTTTGCTTTGCTTTGTGTCTCTCTTCTCCTTTTTATTTGTCCCTGTTTGTAAAGAGCCTTAAGCATGGGTAAGGGGGAGTAAATAGACATGAACAGATGATAAATTTACGCAGACAAAATAGCCTCCCAGCACTTGCAGGAGATGTCGGGGGGCTGGCCGGAGCAAAGCAGAGGGCCTGGCCGGGTACCCGGGCCCGACAGTCCAGAAACCTGGACTGAGGAAAGGAGCCTCCCGTCCCATGTATGTCCTGATGGCAGCAGAGCCTCTGCCAACCCTCGGACCGTCCCCCTTCAAGGAATATGCACCCACAGGAGGACAGGGCTCGGGGAGAGACTCAGATTCTGGGGAAGAGGTTCCCAAGCCAGCGCAGACACTCCTAGGGGTGTCCTGGTCTGTGGAGCAGGAGGCGGGAAGCAGCGGGAACAGCAGGGGGCCCTGCTCCCACCGTCTCCCTGGCAGCTGCCCCTGACATCTGGAAATGGACTCCCCCTGTAAGCCTGCAGAGCACTCTGGGCCCCCCGCCAGAGCCTGCTCACTGTGGCCTCCGGGAGCCCAGCCACATCAGGGGAGAATAAAGACAACCCCGGGGACCACACCCTGCTTCCAAGTGTGGGAGGGAAGTTTGTATGTGTCCTTCAGCTCTGGCCCTCAGTTTCCCCATCTGGACAAGTAATAGATAGCCCATGGGCCAGGTGGTTGTAAAGGACATAGGTGGCCATTGGGGGCAGTGTGGTCTGAGGGAAGAGCTCGGACCCGACTGGCAGAAAGGCCCAGAGCTGAGTCCCAGCCTGCTGTGACCTTTACCTTCTGCAGCCTTCCCAAAGGACCTTGATACCAGTCTCCTAGGTGTGTGAATATTGAATCAATGGAGGCAGGCACGGTCCCCCAGGGCCCAGAAGCACCAGTGGCTGTCACTCGTAAGCCGCAGGGGGTCGTACAACTCCAGTCTGCAGCAGTAGCCAGTCCTGGAGCACCTCTGGAGACTCAGTTTCCCCATCTGTACACAAAAGGGAAAGGAGAAATGAGTTCTTGGCCCCACCTGAAGGTCTATACTCTTCTGGGCACAGTGGTATCCAGGCACCCAAGAGCCCTGCCCTGAGGGGTGGACGTCTACAGTGTGATATGTCACCCAACTCCCCAAAGGGCTCACTCTGGGTCATGATGCTCCCCTCGTGTGGGCCCCTCCTTCTACCCCTGAGACCTGAGCCCACCCTGCAGGAGATGCAAACCAGGAGCCCTGGTCAGGGGTGGGGGCAGCCGGGCCCAGCCCAGCCCAGGGTCCCCAACCCCTGGCATTCCAGCTTATTCCAGGGAAGGGCCTGAGGTACTCCACGTCTTCAAGGCAAAATGCATTTCCAGGTTTTTTGAAGCAGAATATATGTGTCGTATTGCTCTTATATTAGGAGAAGCCCCACCTCCCTTCGCACCCGCTGCCCTGTTGTCCTTCACCTCCATGGTCAAGGCCACTGCCTCTTCCAGACCCCATGGGTGCTCATGCCCTGGGTCCCCCAGCTCTTGCCCCCACGACCTTCACAGTCGGAGCCACTCCCTCCAACACACCTGTCTGGCAGGGCCTCACCCCTCCTGACCTGTCAGCGGTGCCCAGTCCTTAAGGATGGGACCCACCCCCAGCCCCATCCCTGTCCCCCTGCTGCCTGTCCCTCCTTTGGGGGGAGGTTCCTAACCTGGGTGTCCATAACCTGGATGAGAACACATGTCCTTATTTTTGCCAACACCTCCCCCTGAAGCGCATTTCCTTCACTGGCAAAGTAGGCTCGAGCCACAGAGCCACCCAGGACTGTCACCGAGAGAATGCTTATGTCCAGGCCATGCTGGCTGCTGTAGCACCCCTCCCCCCAAGAATCCCTTCTGCTCAGCACTGCCTGGAAATCTTGGCTGGTGACCCGTCACTGGCCAGATGTTGTCACTGAACACACTCACCGAGAAGCCCGTGTGATTTGTTGTTCTGTGTACTTAATTCCCATGTTCTAGTAGTGCTGTATCCCTTCTAACGCTGTGCAGTTTGTTTTAAGCATTTTTTAAAAAAGCATCGTGCTGCGAGCCAGACTTCCCCGGCATTACAGGGTGAGGACCCCCAGGTCCGGGGTCTGCACATATACGTTTTCTCTTGTGCAATGAGTCGCCACTCTGATTTGCCTCTGCTTCCGGATCCTCTAACCAGGAGGTGGCCAGCTCCTGGGGTGCCCTCTGCCAGCCCCCAGCCCCGTTGCTGCCTGCATCGCCCACCCCTTCCCTGGGGTCTTCCCAGCAATCCTGGGAAGGAGCAAAGCCCTCTTCATTGCCCTTCTGTGCAGGGGGAAACCGAGGCACAGAGCTGTAACCCACTCCCAGGGTCAGAGAGCACAGAGAGCTGGGACTGGAACCCCCAGGCAGACAGAACTGTGAGACATGGCAGACAGATGGCCACATCCTCCAAGCTGTAAAGAGTGAGGACAGAAGTCAGGCACAAGGTCGTTCCTTCTGGAAAGTTTGTCCCCAGTGGAGGTGGGAAGCCAGGAGGGGTGACATCTGCCCTCCAGCGCTGGAGCTGGGGGAGGAGAGTGCACTGGGGAGGAGGAGCAGGGAGAACTGACTTGCCCAGGTCCCTGGGGAGAGGAGTAGCTCCAGTCCTTGGAACCCTGGACACGGACAGGGCTGGCACAAGGACTCTGGGAGGGCCCGAGGCCTGTGCCTTGGGGTCCCCTCAGCCCCGCGGCCGCGCCCCTAGGGCCCGCCAGCTGACCTATATCCCGCCTTTCCCACACCAGGCAGGCCAGTCCCGCCACTGCCTCTGGGCGGGTGGGTCCAGGCCGGGAAGGCCCGGGGCGGGGCTGGCGGAGAGGCCAGGCCGCCCCTCTCAGCGAGGGCGGGCCGCGCGCCTTTAAATGCGCTGGGGCCCCGAGCGCGCTGAGCGTCGGCGGAGAAGGAGCGGGCGCCTCTGAGGTCCGCGCGCCCGGCATGTCCCTGTGGCCCTACGGCCCGCCCGCCTGAGCCGCCTGCGCATGTGGCCGCGCCCCCGGCCCTGTCCCCTCCGCAAGCGGCTGCCGCCCGGCCCCGTCCAGTCCCCCGCGCTGCCGCCCGCCCCTGGTGCCACCGCTATGCCGACGCGCGCGCTGCTCCTGGCCGCGCTGGCTGCGCTGGCGCTGGCCCGGGAGCCCCCAGCGGCGCCGTGTCCTGCGCGCTGCGACGTGTCGCGGTGCCCGAGTCCCCGCTGCCCCGGCGGCTACGTGCCCGATCTGTGCAACTGCTGCCTTGTGTGCGCGGCCAGCGAGGGCGAGCCGTGCGGCCGCCCTCTCGACTCGCCCTGCGGGGAGAGCCTGGAGTGCACGCGGGGCGTGTGCCGCTGCCGCTGGGCACACGCTGTGTGCGGCACCGACGGGCACACCTATGCCAACGTATGCGCGCTGCAGGCGGCCAGCCGGCGCGCGCTGGAGCTCTCGGGGACCCCCGTGCGCCAGCTGCAGAAGGGCGCCTGCCCATCGGGTAAGCGCTCTGCCGGGGAACGGGCCGGGGGTGGGACTAAACGTGCTTCCGGAGGAAACTGAGGCGCAGAGCTGGGGAGGAACCTCGAGGTCCGCACTGGCTGTGCAGGATGGGCAGAAGTTATCTAACCAGATCCCTGGCCTTGCGGGTGGGGAAACTGAGGCCCAAAGTCACAGAAGTCGTGAAGGGTGAAACCCGGTGCCCTCCTGATCACCCAAGGGGTCTGGTCTAGCTCCTTCCTTCCCTGTGTCTCTCTGGCCTGGTCAAAAACGTACCTGTCTTGTGCCTGGTTTTGGCTGGTCCCATATTCCTGCTCTGTCGGGGTGCTGGCTGGGAAAAAATCTTTCCTGGGCTTGAATCTAACCCAGAGCGGATATTCTCTTGAGCAGCATCCAGTGTTACCTTTCTTTTTAGCGGCACTTAGAGTTCAAGTCTCCAGGGGGCTGCCTGGGAATGGTGAGCGAGGGTGTGGGGTCTCTGCGTGGCTTGGTGCCTCCTGGGACAGGCTGCTGAGGGGGGACTTCCTTTTTCCCTTCAGACCCTGGGACAGCCTCCCCCCACCTGCAGCTCACCCAGGACTGCTTCTTGCCCCACCGCTGGACCCTGAGCCTGGAAGAAAGTGCTAGAAAACCCTGCTGCCCCTTTATTGGTTGAGGGCACCTCTTAGGAAGTCAGTTCAGTAGGGACCCACTCACGGTCACCATGTGCTAGGTGCTGAGCCCCGGGTTCATGGAGATGAGTAGAGCCCTGTGTGTGCCCTCAGTTTACAGCCGCTGGGGGGAGACGCTGACCACGGGGCCTGGCTTTGCCGGGCCCTGGGAGCACTGTGGGGAGCCTAGCTGCCTGGGGTGCTGAGAAGACTTCGGGGGTGAGGAGCATCTGAACTGAATCCCACAGATGAGGGGGACAGGTCCTCCAGGTAGTGGTAGGGAATGGTTCTCTAGGAAGGGGGGAGAGCGTGAGGCCCCATGTGGAGAGCACGGAGCTGGGAACAGCTGGCGTGGAATGGGGATGGGGGTTGGGAGGCGATAGCGGTGGCTGGGCAGGCTGGCGGGATGGGGGGACGAGTGGCCACGAGTGTCCTGTCATTGGCTTAGTCTCCATCCAGTAGGCCAGATTTCCCTGGGTTGGGTCTGGTATTCTGAAAATGAGTGTCTCACAGCCCGAAACGTTTGGTAGCATAGACACCGTCCGTGCGGTGCTGATTCACACTCGCTTTGAGTCTATCCGAAGTTCTGAGAGAACCTGCAGTGAGGAAAACGCACAGACACACACACACAATCATAAACCCAGGGTTTTCCTGGCAGAACGCGTATGCCCTCCTCCGGGTACCCTGGGGTTCTGGGGAGCCCGGTCTGGGAAGACTGTGTAGGATTAAGTGTGATTATTTGGAGGAGCCAGTGAAGGGCTTTAAAGAAGGTGAGGGTGATAGGGTCAGATCTGTGTTTAGACTCTGCCCTGGAGAGCGAGGGGTGGAGGCGGGGTGCCCTGCGGAGTGTCTGAGACGGGCGTTGGCATTGAATGAGCGCCCGCGTGGCTCATCTGCCCAGGGGCTTGGCACTGGCTGCCCCACTTCAGGCAAATGGCTCCGAGAGACAGCTTGCTTGTGTCATGGGGCCCCCAACCCTGACTCCTTCATGTGAGGGACACTTCTAGAATAAGGATCCAGGGCTGGGGAAGGGAGGGTCCCAAGCATTTCAAAACCCACATTTCTTGAGGATAGAGGCCCCATTTGTAAAGCACCTTGTCTGTGTGTCCAGCTGGCGACACGGGGCCCCATCCATGCCCAGGACAACCTCGACGTGGGGGCGGTAAGAAGCCAGGAGGAGACTGACCCCAGACAAGTGCAGAGGTCAGTCGGTAAGCAGGAGGGGGCTGCCAGCACAAGGTCACGGGCTGGGGCTCTCACGTGGGGCCTTAAACACGCTGCACACCCCAGTTTCCTCTTCTGCAGTGACAGGTGCTGGGGAGAACAGTGGCAGGGATTGTGAGCCCTGTGGGGACATTAGCACCCTTGGCAGACGACTTACCTGTGTTAGGACCCCCACCGTGTCTGGTCTACCCAGCCAGGTTGGCTTCTGTGCTGAGCTGCGGAAGGTGAGCCGGAGCTCTCCCGGCAGAGGATGGGGTGGACAGGAGGGACCGGAGCAAAGCAGAGGCAGAAGGAGCAGCCTCACAGGCATAGGAGGCCGCAGCTCTGACCTGGCCGGAGCCCCAGGGACAAGGGCCCCGGGAGGGATCTGGGGCCTGCGAGAGGTGGGTGGGGAGGCCTTGGTTGTGCAGGGCTGGGGTCCGTGCCCATAGGGCACATTCTGGTCTCTGTGGGCCCACCCTCACTCCTGGGGCCTGTGCTGTCAGCGTCACCCATGCTCGAGGACCGCAGGTACCAGGTTTCTGCCAGTTCCCTGCGCTAAACCCAGTCTGTAGGGAATGGTTGCTGCTCCCGGGTCTCTGGCTTGCGCTGTTTACCTGCCTCTGCCAGTCTGGCCCTTCGCACGGCACAGATGCACTCAGGGAAGGAAAAGAGCAGTCAGGTGATCGGTGTGAGGTTACCGGGCCAGGAAGCGACCCAGCCAGGCCAGGACCCTGCTCTGGCTGGCTCTGAAAGCTGCGCGGTCACGGGGCCCAGGCTTTCTTCTGCAGATGGGGGCAGCAGGGTCCCCAAGCTCCAGAGTCCTGGTCAGGCTGGGGTCCCTGGCTCCACGGGGTTCAGCCTCCATCAAGTATCACTGGCAGCATCGTCCACTCCCCCTGCCCTCCCAAGGGTCCAGCCGGAGGTCGGTGGGTGATGTCACACGCAGTGTCCAGCAAGGGGCTGCCCATCCCGGGGGTTTCCCGCACAGAACTCCCGCCGGCTCACCATCCTTCACCGCGGCCTGCCTTTGGGTGTCCAGGCGCTGATGCTGGGTGTCCAGTCCCCAGTGCCTGGCTTGTCTCTGGGCAGGAATCCTGTGTCTCTGCTGGCTGTGGTCCTCAGCTGGCAAGTTTAGGCCACACGTGTTTGTCATGTCATCTTACCCTGGCTCCTTACTTCCACCCACAGGCGAGCCCTCAGCTTCCCCTGGAACCTGACCCCGAGCCGTTCTTGCCCCACCTCCCTCATCCTTCCACACAGTGGCCCCAATAACCTAGATCAATCCATTCTGCTGGTCCCCAGCAGGACCGCCCTCAGCAGCTCCCCAGTGCTGAATGACCCATGAGGCCCTGTGCTGTCTGGCCCCTCCCACCCCGTAGGGCCACCTCACCCTCCGTGCTCCCACCCACCCAGATGCTCCCTGCCACAGGGCCCTTGCACGTGCTGTGCATGCAGCCTCAGATGCCTGTTCTCTCACCTTCATGGAACCACATCCTCATCTGTCTGGGCCTAGATGTCCTGCCACCCCAGAGCTGCTTTCCCTGACCACTATGCCCAGGCAACCACTTCCTCAGCCCCATGAGCCCACCCCAGGGTCCCTGCAAACCCTCTCTTCACCAGTGGGACCAGGCTTCTCTGCTGTATCTCTGTCTCACCAGCTCTGACCCTCACAGGGTGGGGTCTGGCCTTGATTCTTTACCAGGCCCGCCCCAGCACCTGGCACACAGTAAGGACTGTGGAGTGAATGGATCATCTGTGCGACAGGTGAATCCCCTATGACCCTCCGACCCTCCAGCCCTCCTTGCCTACCCCCTAGGGAAGAGGGCTCACTACCCTTCCAGGAGCTCTGTGGAGCCCCGGCTCCACAGGCAGCCTGGCTACTGGCTGGGTAAACATGGAGACGAATGTGCTCTGTGGGTCTGTAGGGAGAGGAGGCTTCCTTGTTCCCCTAAGCAGAGCCCCGTGACCCACAAAGCCTCCCTGCCCCCAACTGCAGACACATAGGTCTCCGCACACACAATTAACTCAAAACTTAGAGCCTGAGGGCAGTTCACAACTGGTGTTCGATAATCTGCCTGGATTGTGCAAGCCCAGTGCAGGTTCCGACGGCGTCTCTCCCTGTTTTATTTATCTAAGAGCTTTGCTCAGTGTTTGAGTTATAATCCCCTTCGTGGCTTCCTGCGCATGTCTTGAATTTCAGCCACGGGGACCAGGCAGTGTGACACTTCCCATCCTTCTCCCCCTGCCCACACGCTGGACGGCAGAGCCAGGAGCCCCATCAGAGGGGGGAGAGGAGACCGGGGTGCTGAGCAGCTGGATTCTCTGACAGGGGTGGGGCCCAGGGAGCACCCCAACCCTCTGTGCTCCTGATGTCAGCCTGGGGGGGCGGTCAGGATCCCACAATGACCCCTGGGGTCTGCCTGCTCAGGCTTCTCCCCGGGCCCTGCACCTCCACACAGCAGTCCAAGGGGAGTGTCATAGGACTTGGATCTCCCTGCTCAAAGCCCAGCCGTGGCTCCCACTGCCTTCAAGACCAACCAGGCACAGACTTCTGATGCCACCTGGCCTCCCCTTCCTGCCTGGCTTCATCCCGGTTAGCAGGTCCCTATGAAATCCCCACTCCAGTCTCGTGAGGGACAGATGACTATGTGCAGAACCTCACTGAGGGAGACACCACCTCCAGAAGAGGAAAGGGCTTCCTAGAGGAGGTGGCATATAGACAGCCATTTAGAGGTGGGCACAAAGAGCACCTGTGCAGAGAAGGATGGTGGGAAATGCTGTGAGGGTGACCCATCCTCAGGAGGCAAAGAGCCACTGAAGGTTTATGGGTAACAGGTGTGCAGAATACAGACGGGCCCAGCCGGTGGGAGGGAGGCCAGTGCCCTGGGCGGGGAGAGCTGATGAGACCTGAGGATGTCTGACGGGGGCTGGTCGGGGGGCTGATCAGGTACAGGGGGCATCCTGGGGTCCGTGGCAACAGACTGGCTGGTGAGCGACCACATCCACGTGTCCGTGGCAGGCACCTGGTTAAGTGGGTGGCATGTCCTGCCCTAGGATCTGAGTATCACCTCCTCCCGGGCCTTGCTTTGAAGAAGAAAAGCCGTCAGGTTTACCAAGGTCAAGGGTGAGACACCAGGCTTGTCTT